GGCGGCAGCTCACGCGACGAAAGGCTACCGCTTGTATGACGCGCGCGCCATAAGAACGGTATGGATTTGTCGGTGGCGGCGGCAGCTGCTGCTGATGGGAGCATTAGGGTAAAAAACCTAATGGCCACTGATCTGGACCGTTGTATGGGTCCAGAGCGTGTGGCTGAGGGGAGCTGCGGCGCATGGAAAATGAAGGGAAACCCTAGTTGGGTTCTGGGTCAACTGTTTGGGCCTGGCACTGGGTTGGTTCAGGTTGGGTTTGATGTAATCGGGTTAGAGCTGGGGTTGACTGTTGGGCTTCTGGTTGATGTAATGTAACCTGCTGGGCTGGGTTTGGGGCTTGAGTGTAGTATTTGGGCTTGAACTTCAGGCCTACAAAAAATGCAACTTTGTATTAATAGAATAATAATAATAATAATAATAATAATAATAAAATAATAAAAAATATCCGGACAAAATGGGTGTCAACAACTATCATATGCATCAAGGTATGAGGCGAATGAAGTAGGTCGTTTTGGAAATTCCGTTGCCGAGTCTAAAGTAAGCAACTCAAGGCTGCCATTGTTGGCATATCATTTGGATGGATATTTTACTTTTCACAACAAAAGAAAGGGAGATTCCTCTGAAGCCTTTGTTACTGTTTCAGAAATGGATGAGAAATTGATTAACATGGTCCTTTCATTGTTTACAGGCATTTCCTCATGTCCTCTAGAGTCATCTTACACAAAGGAATTGATACTTCTCCTTCAAAGTTCCTTTAAATCCATCTTGTTCTGCCTCTTCCACCGTCAAACATAGGATTTTATATCAAATAAATTATTGTTAAAATGCCAACAAGAATCCTACATGGATTAAACGGCTTTAATGAAATAGTATATGTCTTCACTGTCATGGCAGGGAGATGCCATATCAGCATTCCGTTAACGGATTAACGGTGGGTGACATAATTGGAGTTAAACATAACCATCAATGATAAAATTGACAAATTGAAACGTCAGTGGAATTTTCAAGCTCGTGCTTAAAGATGTCTGTATTTGATGTAGTTAACCTTAAAAATAATAATATTATTTTTTTAAAATATTTAATTAATTATTAAAATTATAATTAAAATAGTAATCTATAAAATAAATTTAAGAACGTTTGAATTTAAAAACTGGACGAAAACGAGTGTCTATTGTATCTATTGACAATGCACAAGCATCATACAAATATAATTGTTTAAACTCAAAATCTTTAGTAAGAACAATATTCTTTTTTACCTTTTTTTATTAATCTTTCTTTTTATCACTTAAAATTAGGCTTAATTTAAAAATATGTACTCAAACTATTTTTTTCTTTAAGTATCTAAATTAATTTTGGTCAAACTAAATCTTTAAACTATAGTATGTAACCACTTTAAGCACCTCAACTATTTTTTTGGATCAAAACAAAACTCTAAACTATGACACTTTTTTTGTTTTAAGCCCTTAAATTATTTTTTGATCAAAATAAATACCTAATTTTGTGTGACATATCAATATCTTATTAGTCAAAAACTATTCTTTTAACTGAAATGTTGATAGGACTTAAAATCATTAACTATAATAGTTTAAAGACTTAATTTGACAAAAAAAAAATTAAGCACTTAAAAAATTAATAATTTAAATACCTAATTTTCCATTAAACTTTAAAATCACTTAATGAGTTTAATTAACATGATTATTTGAACTAAATCAAGTTTCCGGATTTAATGTAGTAAGAATATAATAAGATTAAATAATTGATGGAAGCGTTTTGCAGTTTTTTCGATCCTATATATGGAATCTTTACCAATTTAAGTTTATATAATAAGGTAAAAATACAAAGCTGAAAAACTCAGATTAAATTAACTTGCCAAATCGTTTGACTAAAAATTGATGAGCTGTTCGATTTTTATTGGGCCTCGTTTAGCCGAACTAAATTCGGACCTAGACATACAAATATATTTTTCTACCCAAGAACAAGTCAATTATATATTAATTTTTTTTTATATTTTTATTAATATTTACTATATTTAATATTTATCTAGCTCAAACATTGAGTATTTATTTTACTTTTCAATAAAAAGAGAAGATGAATCATCTAAAATTAAATTAAAAATTAATATCACTTTAACAAAAAAAATATTATTGCATTACATACTTGATTAATTAAATTAAATTTATTTTTTAAAATTTAATATGAGATGCAATTGATCTAAAAGAAATAATATTCCGAGGAAATGACAGTGATTTAACGGTCGAAAAGATATTATATTTTTATATGTGGAGAGTGATGTAACGAGGAAGATAACAAGGAATTTGATATTGCGTGGGAATTATTAGGGCTGTAAATGAGACGAGACAGATCGTGAGTTATTCGAGATTGACTAGGTCAAGGTTCGATAAATACTAGGATCGAATGAACTCGACTCGAGCTCGAGCTCGACTCGAGTTCTTAACGAGCCGAAACGAGCTACTCGATATTCGACTCGAAAAGCTCGTGAGCAGCTCGAAAAAATGTTATATTATAATTTTAGATTTTTTAAAATTACATTATTAAAAATATAATAAAAAATACTATTGATAATTATAAAATTTTAAAATATATTAAAAATTCTATAATACAACTACTCTCAAAATTTAATTAATGTCTTTGTAATGAGCCATAAACCCTAAACCATAAACAATAAATCTTAAACCATAAACCCTAAACTCTAAATCATAAACATTAAATCATACTTACCTCATAAATCGGTAACAAGTCGATTAATTAATGTCTAAACCTTAAATCCTAAAGCATAAACCCTAAAGCATAAACCATAAACCCTAAATTCGATTATATGATAGGGATTAAATTATGCACATGAAGGTAACATACAAATTATGCAAAATGATGTTATGTGACTCCTAAATAAATCAATCGCATACTTATACATAAACATATCAACATGCAAAATAAATATACCGATTGAAAGATAAAAGCTATAATCAATAAGAAATAAGCAGTTAAAATAAAGTTGTCTGGATTGAAAGATTTTTTTTTAAATGAAGGTGACAATGAGCTTACATTATCATGTAACAATTTGAGAAGTCACTAAATGTTATTAGTGATACGAGTATAAGATATATATATATATATAATATATATATATATATTAAAATTGATAAAAATACAAAATATTATTATTTTATTTTTTCTAGTTTGACACTAAATATTATTACTATTTCAGTATTTCACATTACTCTGTCTCATACTTCCTATTCTAAAGATCAAGATTGCATAATGCTTTATTCGAAAGCAGCTGAAAGATAGCAGAAAGATAGCATCCAAAATAATGGATTCGACTACCTCGTAACACGTCCAACCCAATGATACGATAACGGCTACTACCAGTGCATTTGTGAACTTCCTGTATATTTCCAGTTTTACCATCATCCTTCTAGCCTGTTGCACCAATATACCATTGCTAAACTTTCATTATAGAATTTCAAAAGATGAGATAAACTCAATAATCTAATGCATGTACGAATACTGCAATTATTTGAAAAAGTTGAAGAAGAAAACATACCTGAAGTTTATTTAAAGTTGCAGAGAGAGAAGTAAATATCCAAAGAATGAAGAAGGCATCTAAGATTGCGACGGGAAGAACCAAAAACAGTCTCGCCTTTCCCGAAAGATCACTCACTGCACCGGCATTTTCCACCAGTTCAAGAACTTTCGGATGCCAGAAAGAAGGTTACTCCAACCGTGATTACATTCGAAGTAAGCCCACCGAGGGTCGGCCTCATGACACCGTAACCCATGGAAACCATCAAAATAATAATCCGTGAAATTGTACGTTTGATAGTACCGAAGGTAACAGCCTACACGGTGATGCCGACAGGCCTGAATGCACCCTCACACAATTATCAGCTCCGCAAGAAGCAAGCTGGAGGCTTCTGCAATTTTCATTCTTCTCATGGTTCTTCCACGCCAAACGGTTAACTGCAGAAACATGGCACATGAAAGGATCGAGCTGGATGATCGGAGCAGCGGTCACACTTGGCGTTGAAATGCTGTCATCGCCTCTTTCGACATGAAGGCTCCAAATTTCAAGGAGTCCAGTTTCCATTCCAACTGCAAGAAGACCGTGATTTCTTTGTCGGTCGAGACCAACCCAAGACAGGGCATTGACGCTGCTGTTGAACGGCGGTAAAGTCAGAAGCTGTTGAACTGTAGATGTTTTCTCCACCCCCCAAATCTTCAACGTCTGGATTGAAAGATTAGAACCACCATTCCCAACCTGTTGTACGCTACTATGTTTTCTTGGTTCTAGGAGTGTTTGGGTGGTAGGAAAATGTGTGAAAGAGAAGGCTTTTTGACGTGAAAAAAACAGGGGAAGAAGGTGAGGAGAAAGTTGTAGAGTTGTGAATTGAAAACAATCCCACATCGGTAGTGAATAGAGAGAGAATATTTGAGTCTATTATAAAAGGCAAGGATACGCAGGTTTGAAACAATCCTTGAGCTTGAACCAAGCTTAAATTCTCGAGCTTTAATTGAATTTGATTAAGTGTGAATTGAGTTATAATTGAGTTATAATTGAGTTATAATTGAGTTTGAATTTTGAGTTTTAATTGAGTTTTTGAAATTTTTTTGAGTTTAGTTATTTGAGTTTGAGATTTTGTTGAATTTGAGTTTTTTAGAGTTTGTGTTGAGTTTTAATATTATTTTTGAGTTTGAATTGAGTTAAAAATTTTAAGTTTTTGAGTTAGTTTATATATAAAATTTTTGAGTTCGAGTTGAGTTCTGTATTACTCGTATCAGTTATTTTACTTTAATTTTAGGGTAAAATCATTGGATATTATTTTATTAAATACTCTAATTATTAAAAATTAAATAATTCATTATTTAAATTATTAAAAATTATAAAATTATTACTTAAATATATATATATATATATTATAAACTCATTTTTTTTCGCCTGTCTCTCTCTCCTCTGATTTTTATATAAAGCTCAGACGCCCACTTTTCTCCACTGCAACTACCATAACACCGTCGCTCTCATCACAGTTTTCTCCGGTATGGCTGCTTTTTCCTACGATTCCATGCTTTTGTCTCCCACCAACAACTCATTCAATTCTGAAAATGATTCCACCGCGGTGGATAAGCTCCGACACGGTGAACAAGTTACACAAAATGCGAAAAGGAAGATGAGAAACGCGACAACCTTGGATTCTTTGGTAATCAAAACCGTTGCTGCTTTTAAACCCAGATTTTCCTTGATGGATTTTCGATTAAATTAATCCGGGCTTTTCCATTAGGATGAAGAAACAGGGAAGAAAAGTAAGCAAAACAAGTGCAATGAAAAGAAAGACAAAGAGGCTCCAACACAGTACGTTCATGTAAGAGCCCGAAGGGGTCAAGCAACTGACAGCCACAGTCTAGCAGAAAGGGTATAAATAATATTAAACGCAAAAGTTTGGTTTTGTATTTGTTTTGTTTAATTACCTTTAATGGATTGCAGGTAAGAAGAGAGAAAATCAGTGAGAGGATGAAGATATTGCAATGTCTTGTTCCTGGCTGTGACAAGGTGGGTGGGAGTTTCACTTGTGTTTTCATTTCATGACAACTTTTTTGTGTTGATGGGGTTTATGTGTGAAAAATAGGTGAGTGAGAAGGCCCTTATGCTGGATGAAATCATCAATTATGTGCAGTCCCTACAAAACCAAGTTGAGGTAAACACAACAATTAACAAAACAAAAACTCTTTAATCCATTCCTCTAAGTCTAATTTGTTTTAATTAGCTTCTGTCGACGAAGCTTGCTTCTATTAATCCCATATTTCATGACGTTAGAGTGGACTTGGATGCTTTAATGGTGAAACCAGAGGTAAATCTATATGCTTTAATTAATGCCTTTTTCTTTTCTTATTGTTTTAAAAAGCTCTGATTAAAATCTCTGTCTCTGAAATTATTATTTTTAGAGTTGGATTGCATCACCACCACCACTGCAACAGCCCACCACCTTTGCTCCACCTTCTGCTGCAGGTTTGGGAGGACGATGGCCCAATGTCTTCTTCTCTCGCCCTCAGGTCAGGTTATTACAAAAAAAAAAAAACCACTTTCCAAGGAAAGACATAAATTTAGATTATTTCAAACTATTTTTTACTTTTCTTTTTAATTTTCAGGATAATGCTAGTTTATTATGGGATTTGGGTTCTTTCCCTTGATATTAAGCCTCTGTTCTCCGGCAAGATACTGGTTTATTTGTTCCAAGTAGGAGTAGAGAACGAGAAAGGTAGGAAGAAAAAGAAGAAGAAGAAGAAGATGAATAAAAAGAGCACATCTTTTTTTGTGGATCCTTTAATAGTGTTTATTTTGAATCCCCTTATAAATCTTCCTTGTTTAGATTTTTCATGTTTCCTTCTACAACTTTTTAGTAATTAAAAGAATTATCATTTCTAAAAATCTTAAATTCAAACAATTATATTTACAAAATTTGTATATACTCTTAAAAGATTACAAATAATATTATCTTATAATACTATTTAAGAAAGTAAATAAATATATTGGACATATATTGCGGCTTTTGATATGACCAGTTCTACAATTATAAGGCTTATATTATGTTCAAGGTGGAATCTTGTCGTGTTTAATGGTGGCTGTCTCGATGAGGGTTGTTCACCTTTGACTAAATATATTTCAATGTTCAACTTGATGTTATTAATTTAATTTCTGTTTTTCTTATCCAATTAAACAGTTAAATTTATTTTTTGTTAAACAAAATACTTCGAAGTATTTGTAGAATTTTTAAGGGTCTACTTTTAAATTAAAGTAACATTTATTCGTCATCCATTATTTATTATTAGAATTTTATATGCATCCACCATTTTTAAAAATCACGTTTATCATCCATAATTTTTTAAAGAATTCAACAATAATTTTTTAGATAATCAATAATTAAAAATTATGATAAAACGTTAGTTCTTACTTTTTTTAACTTGATCTTTAAATAGTTTTAGAATCGATTACACGGAATGTAACACCCTCAATTTTATTGTTTTAATTAATTTTGAGGACCAAATCGTAAAATTTTAAACCTTGGGGGTCAATTTTTAAAGCTTCTACAAGTTCACCTAGCTCTAGATTTAACCCTTTTTTGTCTGCAAAGAAAAAAATTAATAATTATAATAAAATGTGTAAGTGGTTGGGATTAAACTTTTGGCATGTTAATTCATCACCCTAATCCTTAACCGTATATCTTAGATCACTGTATCTTATGGGTTTAGGTAAAAATATCTTTTATTTCTCTAGTTTGGGATTTTAAATTCCTAACATTTGAAACCAAATCCTCAAATCGTGAAAATCCCCAATCTCTCACCAACCCAAATTGTCGCCGCTCCGTTCATCGATCTCCGATCGGCAGTAGTGTGCACCACCGCCGCCACTACCTTGTTCCCCTTCGTCTCCCGGTCAAAAGCCCTTTGTCAATTTTTCAATAACCGCCATCGATCGTCATGAAAGGCCCCAGGAAAGTTTCGTTGAAACCTAAGAACACGTGTTTCTGTTTCTGCTTTATTTCAACCACCATGCGATCGTAGGTTGCGTCGTGGCCACCAATCGACTCACCGTCCCACGCCGAGCAAAACCCGTTCGACCTTTCTCCGTCTAAGCTCGCCGTTCGTAGTAAATCCACTGACAAAGCCTAAATGGAGAACTAAACCCACTGTCATTGTTTTTCGCGTTTTCACGTCAATCCTGTCATTGGTTAGCCTCACTATCATCGTTATCGGGTTCCTCACTCTGTTTTGACCATAACCCGACTGGTATCATCCCCTTCCATTGCGTCCTCCGTCGTCCGCCATTGAGGGTAAGAGTTTATTCTTTCTTCGTTAATTTTTATCGATTTTGGCTGATTTATGGATTGATTCGAGTTGTTTTTAGTGAATGGTGTCGTTGGGAGGAATCGATCGCCCCTCCCCATCCCTGTCGTTGAGTTGAATCGCCCGAACCGATCTATTTTTTTAGCCAAGCCAAGTTGTTAAACAAGCCGTTGACCAGTAGAATTTGACTTTAACCTGTTGACCGTTGACTTTGACCAAAACTTCATCTTTTTCGGGAAAAATCCTATTTTATGTTTTTCGACGTACTAAGTCCGAATCTGAAGTCTGTTTCATCAAATTCGAATATGGTAAGTTGTTTTTCAATGTTTTATCTTTCGATTCGAATTGTACTCTCGATTAAGTTTCGTTTCTAACGTATATTATTTTGCTATGTCACCAAGATATTATGGGACGTCCAAATCAAGTGTGAAAGCATTTGAATGGAGTTCAAATGATCGACTGTTGTTGATCAAAAATCGAGGTAATACTTTACTACCCTATGTCCACTTTACGGTACATGTTGGTAATTGACTGATGCATGATTTATATTGTTTAGTCAAGTAAATCCCGATGAATATTCATAAATTCGTACTGAATATGGTAAAAGGATATTAAATTGGTTAAGACTCGAATTGAGTACTGTATAAAGTTAGTATATTGAATAAGACTCAGATAACTTGCTTAAGAAATTGAAAACTGATAATAAAGAAATTCAGGATTAATAATCGACCTCAAGATCTGTAAATTCTGATTATTTTCTTTTAAGGTTGAGTGCCAAGAATACTGGATAAGAAATTACAAAAATAACCTTATGGAGTAAAATTATAAAAATGTCTTCGTGCTGGAAAAAGACCAAGATTGCCCTTGATAATGAAAAATAACAATGAAAGGACATAATTAACTAAATTACTAGAAAAATTCCATATGTTTGGATTGAACAGAATTACCAAAATGTTCTTGAGCTGCGAAATATCTTGAACTCTAAAGGACCATAGTAACCTCAAGTACAAAAATTACCCAAATATCCTCATGACCTAGAAATAAATGAATGTTATTGGATAATTCTAGAAATAACAAGAAATCTAATTATTGTATTGGCCCTCAAGGTTATGGAGAGGACCCAAGATCGTCGGTCATCTTGGAGACTATTGCAATACATAAATAACAAAAAAATCATCGGAATAAGTATAGTTCCTGAAGATCCGGTCAACGATGGTTCTGAAGATGATTAACTCGATCAGTGCTGTCAGTATTAAAGTGTGAATATTCTTGAAGTGTATCAATTCGAGTGGTTGATAGGTATCACAGTACTAAGATTTGTTTAGCTCGAGTTCACCAGATTTCCTGTCAAATCGACATGAATCTTGAATACCATAAATTATTGTTTCACTCTTATTGAATTAAGTTGCTAAGAATCCACTAGAAATGAAAGTTTCTGAAATACCCCCGATGGTCTAAATAATGGAATCGCTCTGGTTATATCTGAAATCTTAATTTATTCTGATGTAAAGGTTCTTAAATACCTTTTTGATACACCTAAAATTATAAATGGTCCTGAAGCATCAATCTCTAAATGCCTGTTTAGATCCATTAGCAATTAAACCCTTTTAATAGGGACCTCAATCCTAAAATCCGATCAATTTTAAGTAAGTTCATATTTTCTATTTCTGATAATTTCCAAGTGCATTCGAAAAATATATAGATCCTCTAGTGTGTTTCCTATTGACAAAAATGTTTTCTTTGATTTATATAAAGTATGATTTCTGATATCTAGTTTCTGATTTCTGACACGAGGTATAATTAGCTCCTGATTTATGATATTATTGTCAGCTATATGATTTGTTTTATTGAGGTAATGTATGGGTAGGTTCATGGAGACTCTGAGATTCAGCTAGTTGGTAAATCCTTTTTGTTCTGATCATTCATATTGGACTCCTAGATCCTAGGGGTCTAGGGTAAGACTTTATGGATGCCTGTTTTGGGTACTACGTTTGGTGTAGGTTGGAGAGAAACTCTTTATTTTAAATAAAAACTCAACTTTTGATTTCTATTTTCTGATATTACTGGTTCTATCTGAAACTATTTATTGGGGTATTGATTGGATAGGATTTTGGAGTCTCTAAGGTTCAGCTAGCAGGTAAATCCTTTATGTTCTAATTATTCATATTAGACTCCTAGATCCTAGGGGTCTAGGGTAAGTCTTTATGGATGATGTCCTGAGGAATTTCACATGGAGTATTCAGATGGTGGGTACTATATTGATTTTAAAAACCTGTTTTTATTGAAATAAATTACTTTTGTTTATAAACTATGATTTCATTTATTATGTTTTTGAGAGAACACACTAGACGTCTATTTCAATCTCCTGAACTTGGTCTTCTGAACGTTTCCTATGAACTATAAGCTTATTGTTTGTTATCTGAAGAAATATCAATGGAACCCCAGTTCATCTAGAAAACTCGTAGATGCATGAATCAATAAGAAAAATTTTATGCTTGTCGTTTATCTGCTTGTCCTTCAGCATCATCTGGTAGTTCTATATTACTAAGCTTCCCAAAGCTCACTTTTTTTTCTTACCATTTCAAGTTAACGAGTAGATCATGTACAATTATCGACATCAACATGGGGAGTTCCTTTGACTTTGTTGGTGAGTACAATACCTGTATAATTAGGAGGCATGTAGGTCATATTTGATTTTTATACTGATTCTGGAACTTGTATGATTGTAATTATGTTTGTAATATATGAATGATTTTTCTGAACTTGTATTTTAGTTATAAATTATTTTATGATTTTACATGTTTTAACAAAAAAATTAATTTCTCCTGGATTTTTACTGTGAGTTGCTTCGGTGGCCCAAATGTGACACTTCGGATCGAATCAGGTCACCCGTATCAGTATGAGGGTGTTACACATAAAGTCTCAAACTTAAAAATTGAAAACCTAATTTTGGTTTTGTGAATCAAATTCAAATACTCCAAAAATCAATCTTAAAGTTTAACTACAAAACCGAACTATTTAATTCATTGAAGGGTCAGGAATAAACACTTTTTAAGTTAATTTTTTCTAGAATTAATTATACTAATTTTATAAAAAAATTATGTTATTAAAATAAAGAATAAAGACGTAAAAATAATTATAAAACATATATGTTCATGTCATGACCTAATTCTAAATTGATACATATAATACTCTATTTAATGTCTTACTATTTCACATGTTAGTTTTATAAAATAACTTAAATTACATTATTATTGTTTAAATATATTATTAATTATAATATGATTTTTAACATATATTATTGATTTTTAAAGTATATACACAAGTGGTCCCCCAACTATATGATGTTTCTTTGTTGTATCTCCCGACTATTAAAAGTTACAAAATAGTCCCCTAACTATGTGGCGTTGTTTTATTGAGTCACCCGACTATTCATATGTTTCAAACTCATCATTTTTCGTTAAAAATTGTTGTCGTCTGAGCTGAACATTAACATGTTGACTGAGATATGATAAAATTATATTTAAATGATGTCTACTAGCATCATTGCCTCTTTTAAGGACTATCTCAGGGACATAATATAAATGGATAGTCGATCAAAAAATACAACTCAAATGATTTCGGGATCATATTTTATCATATATCAGTCAAAAGTTTGATGTCCAAGTCATAAGTTTGCCTATTTTTAACGAAAATAATGAGTTTGAGACATATGAATAGTCGAGTGATCATTTAGAGTAACTTTTCATAGTCGGGAACTCAACAAAATGTCATATAGTCGAGAGATCATTTTATAACTTTTAATTGTTAGAGGACTAAAAAAAAAGTAGCACCCTATAGTCGGGGGACCATTTGTGTACTTTAACCTAAAATATATTAATTTTATAAAAAATATATGATTTTAGGTCATGAGATAAATACCAGTTGCTTAATGAGGATGTTTTTCTGTATACACTATGCCTAGACATAAAAGGAATTAGATACGATACCTATTTTCATACATACACATAAATCTTGAAAATAAAAGTTTGATGGGAATACGAATTTTTCTTTTTCAAAGATTTGAGGAAACAATGAATATTGAGAAACAAATAAAGTTAGACAATCAAACAATAATGGTCGTGGAATCAGAAGAAATAAAGGGGTGAATGGTCATCAATTTAATATTGTTCTATACCCTTAGTAAAATATATATATATATTGTTCTATACCCCATCACACAAGCACTCCTTTCTTCAAAAATAATTGAGTAAATTGCATATTTAATATCCCAATTATAATTTTTATTTTGTTTTGGTCATACAACTATATTTTTTAAATCATACCCAACGTTACATTTTATTTTCATTTTAGTCATCTATCGTTAAAAAAATTAATAGAACCGCTGACGTATTTTTATGCAAAAGATAATTCCATGTTAGCATTACCGTTAATTTTTAACAGCGGGTGACCAAAATGAAACCGAAACTAAACGTTAGATATGCTTTTGAAAAAAATAATTAGGTAACTAAAACGAAATAAAAATGATAGTTGAGATACTAAACATGTAACCCGAAATAATAACATATCGATTTCAAACATATTAAAAAACCAATTCTATATTATAGAAATTTATAAGATTTATGTGTAGCTTGAGTGGAAACAAAGAACGAAATTCGACGTCTTTCTTTCAGAATTTAAAGTCCCATCTGCCAAAAAAAAAAAGTGAAAGAAAATTCTGAGCTGAACAAATTTCAGATTGCTAAACTCTCTCTTTTTCTAACACTTATGAATTTCATTTACCTCTTCAATCCTCCATTGAATTAAAAGAAAACACCTCATTTATCTAATATTTTTCTTTTCGAAAGCTACTTCTAACCCTTTATAAGAATAAATAAATCTATGTCTAAATCAAAATATTATTTTGATAATATATTTATGTATTTTCTTTACTAAAATAATTCTCATCCTTTCCTTTTTCTTTTCAATAAATATGTTCAAAAATTTTTATAAACCAAAAAATAACCATAGGTTTGTTGAAATTGAATATGATAAAAGCATCGACAACAGCAAAAAACAACGTTCACTTAAGTTAAATAAATGAGTATAAACAAATTTTTTTATGTTTGTTTAATAAATAAACAAACTGAACATGGACAAATGTGTGTTTGGTTCGTTTATGTTCACGAGCAAGCTCGTTTATTGACTTATTTATAATCTCATTTACTCGGTTTTCTTTTTATTTTTTATTTTCTATAGTTTAAATATTGGTGAAGATAGAGATTGAATTAAACACAGGGTGAACTTTGACGTTCAAATTGTGAAACCTAGTCTGAACCAAATTGCCTCAATTGTTAAAGGATGGTTGTTATTCTTAGAGACCACGAGTTCGAGCACCAGCGACTGTAGCAAGGTGACTGAACGTTCATTGTCACATGATTCAGAGTATTTAGAATATATACTACGTTGTAATCACCTTAGCTTAATAAAAAAATGTGAAGCCTAAGGAGTTAAATGATTAATGAATTAATTTTATCATTTGTGAACATATAAACTGACGTGTTCAAGAACAATAAATAAACGAACATGAACATCTTTAAGAATAAATAAATGAACATGAATATAATATTAAAAATTTAAATGGGCAAGAACTAACATGAACACCTTTAAAATTAAACAAAAGAACACAAACACATTCTTATTTATTCAAACTCAATTCATTTACATCTCGAAGCATAAAAAAAAATTCTCATTAATAAGGCAATGTGACTAAAATAAATTAATATATCAAAGCCAAACTACTAAGGCAAATTCAAAATGAAAAAGATAAATTACAAATTTCACAACATAACTTTTTCCAACATTTTAGTCAATTAAACCACTCAAATTTCGAATTGCTCCAATTTAATCACTCTATCGTTAAATCTTTTTCCAACATCACACCTCTATCTTTTTCCAAACAAATTAAGCAACTTTTGTTTATTCATTTCTTTTCCATGGCATAACAATAAGTATAGGTTTGTCAAAACTAAACTCAATTTATGAATTTCTTTTTTAAATTTGTTGAAAATGAAAAGAAAAAGAAAAGCCTCTCTCACTCGAGGAATATTTGAAAAATAGGTGGAAAATAAGCTTGATGATGGTGTTGAAGTTGGCAAATAGATGGAGGAAGAGACTTCAATTTTTTTTTAATTATTTCTATATAATTGTCAAATAGAGAGCATGAATCTTTATGACCCATTAAATCCCACTATAATTTTTTGGATTAACCTCTATTTAAGAATCCCCAACCCCATAGGTAATTCATTTTAGTCCCTTCTTTCAATATGTACTACTATCATTTGATCAACTAAATTCTAACGGTCAGTTCTCGGATTAACAAGAAAGCAAATTAATGGGATTCAAACCTTAAATATTTAATTCATAAATTAACTATGCATGGCCCAAAGCTTAATTGCTGGCATGATGAATGAGAAGATGGAACATTATCTGGTGATGAATAAATAAAAGTTTCTCATTATTGAATCATTATGTACACATTAATTGGCATTTTGCCTCCATTTGTGGTTAAATGAAAGAGACTACGTTCACATACATGTACAGGAATTATGAACAGGCAATTTCTGGGAAGAGAAATGAACCTTATGCAGGCATTTTTTAGCTGCTGATGTCGAAGTATTTCGGATTCGATGGGAAATCGTACTCCACATGTGGCTGCAATGCAAGTGTATCGGATCAGGCACGGCGAGTAGAAGTCAGGCAATTAAACATCTCATCATTCATCAGCAAATTCACGTACACAAAGAAATATAAAAGCACAAGGTTTCTTTAAAGCTCTTGGTTGATAATCAGAGATGGGGACCTGAAATTCGTGCTATATATCGAAAAAAGACACCGTAATGCATACTGACCAACACAGAAAAGAAGCATGAAGCACTTGAATATACTAGGATCGTACACCACACACAATTTACCTGACCCTCATCGGCATCCGAATGGCGTTGTGGGAAAACCACTCTCATATTATTGTACAAGTAGAGGCGTCACTCCCCTTCGATGTTCATGTTCTCTGCTGGTACAGACAGAGGATCGGATTTGCACCTTCGGAAGGACTTTGAACATTTCTTGGTGGAAGAGCATAAAAAACGGAGATGAAGAGCGTAGTGCAGAACACCGGCACCCATAATACTCTCATTCACTCTTGATGAGCTATGTACAAGTTTGTTTAAATTTACATTGCTATCGTTCGATGGACTATCCAAGTCCCCAGAACATTCAACAGTTTCACTCTCTGTATCTTCCATATCCTGATCAGGATATCCAGAAGTACGTAATATTCCACTAATCGAATCCATTTTTGTCTCGGAGCTTTTACGGTTTTCTTTTACTGGTGTGTGTGTTGCGGTAGCGGGAGCCAAAGTAATCCTTTGGCGCATAAATGTCTGTTGAAACAAGGGTCATTACACAACATTGGTTCTTGATAGTACAACTATAATTTGCATGAAAAACAATTCTAATGTTATTTATCTCTCCAACATACCTTTGTACCGGCGGGCTTGTCAGTTAGATCATAGTTACAAAGGAAAGTGTGAATCGGAGTCTTTTCCGGATTGCTTAGTACCTGTGAACACCAATCACAATTTATCATGATGTCATAAAGCTTATATATAATAACATTAGCAATAACTTGACAGATGCGGTGAATGATTGGTCGAGAAGGTTCTCAATGCTAAGCTAACGTTACCAATTGTATCCGCCCCTTCATAGGTACACGAAGGCGACTCTTTTCATCTTGTGAATCTACAATGCTCAGACTCCATTTCGTTTTTAGGCCTTTAGACTTGTTTGTTGAGGCATGCCTGGCAAGATCTATTGATGAATAATAGAGCAAGTAGTTATCTCCATCGACACTAGTTACTGCAAATGGAAGTTTCTTTGATTCCAGAGAGAAATTCCCACCCGGTATACTGAGAATAGCAAGGAAACCATCAATTCTCTGCATACAAGCAATCAAAATACGAAGTAGAAATACGTCATTGGTCTAGGAGAGCATTCAGTTCAAACACGAACAGCAACTTCGATTACACAAAACTTGCTAACCTGACTAGCTTTTCCATATAACAGCCGGCCAGAAAAAAGGGACTCCTTGAATGAACCAACCAAGGACCTTCTGGCAGATGGTCCACTAAGACTTCTGACAAATTTATCGCTTTTACGAGCGTGATTCAAGCCCCAATTCTGCAAATAATCGAAATGATGAAATGATTTACAATACAACCTAAAATCTTCATCCATCCGAACAGATACTGTTCCATATCCTTGAGCATCTTATGATCGTCTAACTTTTCCATCATATCCTTGCATCTTTCAACAAATTTTGTTCTTTCACTAGATTTCGGACCAAGAGGAGACAAAGATAAGGGAGGTGAGGCTGTCTTCTTAAAAGGTATTGTGATAGCTGGTGTCTGGTGCCTTCTTTTATTCGTTTCTCCAGAATAACTTAGCGCTCGAGATGTAGACACAAAGTGACTGTCAGATTGCAGCCCCTTATTCTTTAGTAGAGGATCATCGGAGAGGACTATTGAGTTTGCTCGAGAATTATCTAGAAGTGAATTCTTCCATCCTACAGAACAAGATGTTGAGCAGACCACAGGGTCTAAAGAACTAGAGTTGCTAATATAAGCCTTTTTATGCTCTTGTGACACAAATACGGCAGGTATTAATTCCACTGACGAAACAACTTTGGCTTATACCACCACCGATATCGAGAGCATCACCATTAAATCGACTGGGGCTGAGCAATCCACTCGAAGGAGACAATAGACGATTCCTTGCAACTGAACCATTGGACTCGGCTGAATTACTGGTGATACGGACAACAGTGGATGAAGTTTTGACTCCGTTGAGCATGCCAATCGGTGAATACAACACCGCTGCTTAGAAACCAATAATTCTAGGAGCAGGTGTCAGAATATTACTCCCAGTTTTATGACCGAGCCAGCCATCTTGTTCCACAGTACCAATCTTCAGCTTATAAATGTTGGATCTACCATATTTATTCACACTCATTCTTGGGATCCTTTGTATGCTCCCCAGTGGTTTTTACGCGCAAATCTCCGAAAGAAGAGCGTGGCAAATCCACCTGAATTTGATTTCCTAGATTCTCTCCATGCATCCTTATTAAATCACAGTTGTTCACACTGACAATCCTGTGTGGGGTCTTCACAAATGTGCACAGCGATGCGGCAACTTCCTTGGCAACACCACTAGAGGAAACTTGAGGCAAACCCATTTTAACCATCCACCTCTGAAATTCAAAGCTCTTTTCAGTTTCTTAATTATAGGGAAATTACTCGGTTATTTCCTAACAACTGGAATCAGAGTTTTTGATTGTGAATTTTGTCAATTTTTTTGTGAGGTTACTATTCATTACTATTCATATGAATAGTAAATTTTGTGAATAGTAAAAATTTTGTCGACGATACGAATTTGTCGACGGAGGTGTTCTAATACACGGTGGTTCGCAAGAATTGTTAAAAACGATCCAAACGAAGCCAAATTCGAGTGGGAGCGATGGATATAAACGAAAGGAAGATGAAAATTGAAAAGTTCGATGGTGCGAACTTTGGCTTTTGGAAGATGCATATTGAAGATTTTCTGTACCAGAAAAATCTATATCAACCTCTCTCAGGAAAGCAACCATAGGGCATGAAGAATGAAGACTGGGCTCTTCTCAACAGACAAGCCCTCAGAGTTATCTAACTGACATTATCCCGCAATGTTGCATTCAACATAGCAAAGGAAAAGACCACGGTGGGTCTTATGTCGGCTCTCTCCAATAAGTATGAGAAGCCATCGACCTCAAACAAAATTCATTTGATGAGGCGATTATTCAATTTGCGGATGGCGGAAAGGGCATCAATGTCTCAACATCTAAATGAACTCAACACAATCACAACCCAGTTGAGTTCAGTGGAAATTGAATTCGATGATGAAGTTCGAGCTTTAATTCTCTTATCATCTCTACCAGACAGTCGGAATGCTATTGTTACAACAGTCAACAGCTCGTCAGGAAACAAAAAATTGAAATTCGATGATGTTTGAGATCTGGTATTGAGTGAAGAAATTCGACGGAGGGAATCGGGTAAAGCATCAAGCTCCTCATCCTTGCACACAGAGTCTAAAGGGAGAACTTCAGAAAGAAATTCAAATCGTGGCAGATTGAAATCTAGACGGGGAAAATCTAGAACTGGAAAGAAAGATTTTACCTGTTATAAGTGTGGCAAGAAGGATCACTTTAAAAGATATTGCCGAGCACTGAAGAAAGATACCGACGCACAGGAATCTGCCAACATGAAAGAAGAGACAGGTGATGCCATGATTATAAGCGTCAACAGTCCAATTGAATCATGGATCTTGGATTCAGGGGCATCTTTTCACTCCACCCCATGCCAAAAAATCATGGAGAACTATGTCAGTGGTGATTTTGGGAAGGTTCATCTAGCTGATGATAAAACCTTGAAGATCGTCGGAAAAGGAGACATCCGATTAAAGCTGTCAAACCAGACCACTTGGACGTTGAAAGGTGTGAGACATATTTATGGCCTCAAAAGAAATTTTATTTCTGTAGGACAACTTGATGGAGAAGGATATAGTACAACCTTTTCAGGCTGTGAATGGAAGATTACCAAAGGAGCACTCATCATTGCTCGTGGTAAGAAGGTTGGTACTTGATTTCTGGAAATGATGTTCATATCAGTCCTGAATCAGTTCATGAAGAACCAGGCACACCAGAACTAAGACGCTCCTCCAGAATTCCTAAACCAACCCAACGTTATTCGCCTTCTTTGCACTACTTGTTGATGACTGACAATGGTGAACCAGAGTTCTATGATGAAGCAATGCAGGTGGAGGATTCAGTCAAGTGTGAGTTTTCCATGAAAGATGAGATGGACTCGCTTATGTCAAATTAGACGTGGGAATTAGCTGAATTACCACCAGGCAAGAAAACGCTCCATAACAAGTGGATTTATAGAATAAAAAAGAGCACGATGGGAGCAAACGCTACAAAGCAAGATTGGTTGTCAAAGGTTTTCAGTAAAAAGAAGGTATTGACTACAATGAAATTTTCTCTCCAGTCGTGAAACTGTCTACAATCAGACTGGTGTTGAAAATTGTAGCTGCAGAGAATCTACATCTTGAGTAGTTAGATGTAAAAACAACTTTCCTTCATTGTGATTTGGAGGAAGAAATCTATATGAGGCAGCCAGAAGGCTTGATAGAGGCAGGCAAGAAAAACCTGGTATACAGGTTAAAGAAGAGCTTGTATGGTTTAAAACAAGTTCCTAGACAGCGGTACAAGAAGTTAGATAGTTTCATGAGTAGCAGTGGCTTTACCAGATGCCAAGCAGATCATTGTTGCTACATCAAGAAGTTCGACAACAACTTTATTATTTTATTATTGTATGTTGATGACATGTTTGTTGCAGGTTCAGACATGCAAGAGATTATAAACTTGAAGCAAAAACTGTCGAAGCAGTTTGCAATTAAAGATTTGGGCCCTACAAAGCAGATTCTTGGGATGAGGATTAAGAGAGACAGAAAGTCGGGGACTTTGATGTTATCACAGGCTGAGTACATCAACAAAATACTCTCCAGGTTCAACATGCAAGATACTAAACCAGTAAGTATACCTTTAGGTGTTCATTTTAGACTCTCCAAAGAACAGTCACCAAAGACGGAGGAAGAAAGTGCACACATGGTGAAGGTGCCATATGCCTCAGCAATTGGAAGTCTGATGTATGCCATGGTTTGTATTAGACCAGATATTGCTCATGCAGTAGGAGCTGTTAGCAGGTACATGAATAATCCGGGCAAGGTACACTGGGAAACAGTCAAATGGATCCTCAGATATTTGCGGGGTACCACAAACAAAGCACTTTGTTTCACAGGTATAGATACGATACTGACAGGCTATGTAGATGCTGACTTAGCCGGAAATATTAACATCAAAAGGAGCACTATAGGGTATGTCTATACTCTAGGAGGAACTGCATTGAGTTGGGTTTCTCAACTACAGAAGATAGTTGTTCTCTCCACAACTGAAGCAAAATATGTCGCTGTTACGGAAGCCAACAAGGACATGGTTTGGCTCCAAAGTTTCTTGGAAGAGTTAGGCAAGAAACAAGAAAATAATGTCTTGTATTGCGATAGTCAAAGTGCTATCCATCTAGCAAAGAATCCGTCTTTTCATTCCAGGACGAGGCACATACAATTGCAATATCATTTTATCCGGTCTCTTCTGGAAGATGGGATTTTGAAACTTGAAAAGATCAGTGGAGCTCAAAATCCGACTGACATGTTAACAAAGACGGTGACTACGGACAAACTAAAGTTGTGTTCAGCTTCAGTTGACATGCTAGAGTAACAAGACCAGGAATATTGCTACATTGATCAACGTGTGAAGACAAATTAAAATCAGTCTTCAAGTGGGAGATTGTTGGAAAAGTTAATTAAAGGGGCGGCTAAATTGATTGCAAAGGGGGTGGGCACCGTCTGTGCCTTTTTTTTCAACAAAGGGGCACCGAATTTGGTGCCCCAATTTTTAATTAAAATTATAATATAGTTAATTACATTTTAGTCCCTATATACTTTAGGGTATTTATAAGTTTAGTCCTTAAACTTCAACTATAAATACCCTAACCCATTTAGCTTCAAAATCATCCCAAATCATTTATTTCTCCCAATACTAAAGAGTTTAGAGAGTTTTCTTGTGAGTAGTGAGTGTTTTGTAAACACCTGTAAATTATCTCTCTTTAGCAAAAGATCAGCAGCAGTCCGGAGACATAGGCAAAATTGGCTGAACTCCGTTATCAATTTCGGGTATTATTTTTCCGCTTTTATTTCACATTCTCACTAATCTGGATATAGGGAAATTACTCGGTTATTTCCTAACACAACTAAATCCACCCCTATTCAACCAGCAACTAGTTTACCAAATTGTGCACCTGAATTCTGTATCAGTGCAGAAAGGTCAAAAATAATTTCTAAATTCATCGTAGAAGGCTGGCAAGGAAAGAAAAATAGGTAGCCCATGTTTTGCTAGACTCTAAAATTCCATCCTGCATAGCACCAAGAATCAGCCCATGAAGGAAGAAAATAGACATTTAGTTATAATATAAACACACACATATACATATTGCAAAACACCAGTATTTGTGCTTTGAGATGATCATCAAACTCACAAAAATTATCACCATTAGTCTTGTTCTCAAGCATTTCCAAATATAAGAATCTAAGAACAAAATAAAAATTCTCAAAGCATAGAATATATTCTATGCATATAGGATTTCCAAAATTATATATACACATATAACTTGATCGATTATGATATCCAGTCTACCAAGCATGAATAGCCTCAAGTATTCCTTGTTAAAAGTCAAGCCAACAATTGTTGAAAATTAAATAAACTTTCGATGGTAGCAGTAATTGTTCAACAATTGCTTTCGGTGGTAGCAACAATTGTTGACTTTGGAAAATGATAAAATCACAATTAGTCATTGTACTTTAGGGTATTTACAAGATTAGTCCTTAAGCTTTAACTATAAATACTCTAACCCATTTAGCTTCAAAAATCATCCCAAATCATTCTAGCTTTCTCCCAATACTAGAGAATTTATAGAGTTTTCTTGAAAGTTGTTTTCTCATTTTTATCAAGAGAGAATTGCTACTGTTTTCTCCTGGTTAGATCGAGAGAAGTTGTAATTCCTAGTTTCTCATAGTAAAATTCTTCTACCATTGCCAGTGGTTTTTACCCTATATTATTTAGGGATTTTCCACGAAAAACTTGTGTCTTCTTTATCTTAATTTTTATTTCTCAAATTATCATATGCGATTTTAATCTATCCGATAGTCGTATTCTACAACAATTGGTATCAGAGTCAGATTAGAGTGTGTAATATCTACCTATTGTCTTTATGGTTGCCACCAAAAGGTGAATCCTCCAACATAAGAAAGTAAGAAGGTATTACCCATTCTTTGATGGTTCCAGAAAACTATTCACGATAGTGAAATAGTGGGAGCTATCCGTAATAGAAGCTATGTCAACGAAACTTGATATTGAAAAATTCAATGGGAGAAACTTCTCATTGTGGAATTGAAGATGAAGGCCATCATGAGAAAATACGGTTATCTAGCAACTATTAGTGAAAGGTCAGTAGATTTCATAGATGACAACAAATGGATCAAAATGGACGGGAATGCTATGTCAAACTTTCATCTAGCATTAGCAGA